CTCCTTCCGAACCTCATCAGCAAAAGGTTCGGCAATGTGCTGAGGAGATGGAGAGGAACTTAGGATTGGGGGAGTCCTCTATTGAACTTCCCCATCTTGAATTTCGGGAGGAGGAGGAGTCTTCTCTTTAGCCACTTCGGCCTGGTCCTCATCCAGTCAAAGTCTTTTTACAGCACGCTTAACAGTTTGAAACTGCCCCAGATTTATGACAACTCTTCTTCTTCTCTGTCCAGCCATTTCCTCGGCTGAAGACTCGTCTGAAGAGGATGATTTGTTAGCTGGCTCTCCTCTGTCATCTTCTTCTTCATCAAACTGTAACAGAAGAGACAGGGAGGCAAAGAGCAATATCAGCATCATAAAAAATATATATATATATAAAAAAAAAAAAAGACAACTCCAAGCCGAAGCTCAGTACTTAGAAATTTTTTGAAAGAATTCAAAGAAAAAGCTAAGTAAAAAGAGCAAGGCGGGGAGAAAAAGAAAGAGGAAAAAGATTGAGACTCACCAAAGTCTTCAGCAGTTGTTCGTCTTCTACGCTAAGTACTTGAGGTTCAGCAACAAAATTTGACGGCTCAGCGCTTTGTTCAGACACCTCATCAAAGTGTCCTACCAACATAGTAGCAGCAGCGGCAGCAACTTGCTCTTCGGGTCCTAAGAGGTAGAAAGGATCCCTCTTCAAAAACCAGGATTTCTGCCTTGAATACTCGGCAGACTTGACTATCTCAAGCGTAGATGGTGCAGAGAAGGAGCCCGTGCCGAAGGATCAGTAATGGCAGGAGCGTTCCTCATCACACGCCTAGCAGCGTTGATGCCGAGCTTGCTATAGTCAATGCCGCAGTTCCCTTCGTGTAGCACTGAAAAACCAAAAACAAAAGGTTAATTAGCATGAAAGAACACAGTCAATGGAAGCGGAAAGAAAAATAAAAGAAAAACAAAAGCCTTCAGCCCCAGAACTCCTTACCATCCTAGTACTTTCGGCTGAGGCCGACAGCATCGAGCATCTTCTCTTGAAAGATGTAATGGTAGCAGGGCATCAAGTCTCTGGAACTTGGGCCGTTCGGCCAGTGCTCCCTGGATTTCTCTTTTTGCCGAAAAGGGTCAGCAACTCCTTTTCCTCGGCATTAAACTCATCCGGACCAATTGCGTTCAACCGAGGGTCTGGCATGCTCAGCTACCTCAGTCCCCCATAATAGTTCGGGTGACCCTCCTCGGCGGGGGCCCGAGTCCAAATCCACCGTCCTCGCCAGTCCTTATCAGATGTATCGTTCGGCCAGGTGGTAAGATACCCCCTTTGGGTCTCAATTTGCCACCACCCAACGTCATGATGCTCGTCTAATTGCTGGTTCGGCATCAGTTTGTGAAGTTTTTAAAAAACGTGGTTGCTCGGCTCAAATTTGTAGAACAAACACACCCAAAGGAATGTCATTACTCTTCGGATGCTGGCTGGGGTCAATTGGCACAACGAGATGTTGTACCCATTTAGCACTTCAACAACAAACGAGTGCAAGGGGAACCGAATCCCAAACTGCAGCTGCCTGGTATACACTCCAACGTAACCAGGAGGGGGCCGATGAAGTTTATCTTCGGTAGTGGGCATTTGGCACCAGTACCCATCTTCCTCCATAATGCTGTAAAATACTTCAATTTGCTCGACAAAGAAATGGAGGGCACTTCCGTTGACCCACCAGTCATACGGAGCAGCATTCATCAGCCCAGAGTTCTCGGGTGGGTTATACCACTCTGTGGCTCCTGCTGGCAACGGACGAGGCCTAGTCGCCGAACCACTGCTAGAGGTGCTAGCCTCTTCCAAGCCTAGGAAAGGCACTGACGCTAGTGGTATCGCGGCAATGGAAACCTTGCCTGAAGAAGCCCCAGTTTTCGTTCTAGGGCGAGGAATTCGGTTGCTTAACGGCAGCATCTGCCCAAGTGGTCGATTGCGCCGAGAGCCCAGTTGAGGAACTTCCTCTTCCTCCTCAGCGACTACTAGTATTTTGCCTCGGTCTTGAGCCATTTATTGCGAGAAATTGAAAATTCGAGAAAATGGGGAATGCTTTAAAATTAAAGAAATCCGAACAAGTTTCGGAGAAAATTACCTTTATCAGCATCGGAATTCGCCGAGCTACAAGCTCGGAGAAACGAACTTCGGCTTTAGGTCGAGGAATGCAGAGATTAAGTGAAAAAAGGAAATCGGGTTTGCAAAGGTGTTAGCGAAAAACAGAAGCAAATTTGCGAAGAAGTAAGGAGAGAGAGTGGGATGAGTGGTTTAAATAGATTTCTGGAATCAAGAAGTCCGGGAGTTCGCACCACTAAAAGCCCCACTAACTCCACTTAAGTTCAACCATTAAACACCTTCCCAAGTTAACTACCCACTAAACCTTCCACCTTCCCTAATTATTCTCCCTAAACGGCAGTTACTACGTCAATAACTTCCTAAATTCCAACTTCAAATTACAATCATTTGTTTCCCTCCATTTTGCAACTCAAAACCCGACCCGTCGTCCTTCCGAATCGGGTCTGGGGGGCAAGTTGTTTGGGTCCAATACAGACACCCAATTAGGCCGGTCCAAATGATTTAATTACAAAGCCCAAAGGCAAGGTTCAATTCTCCAATACATGCCAAGTCAGTCAAGCCCAGACAGCATGGCAAACCCATCTGATTTGCGGCCCGGTTCACCCATTGTGCAAAAGCCTTTAATTATCTCTTCTTACATTCATTCAAGACAAGCCTCAAGCAATTAATTCTCTTGCACAGCTTTCTCTCTCTCTCTTTGACATTGTACTGATTTCGGCATCTGAGGGGCCTTCCTCGGCACACCCCCTGAGGCTAGTTTACGTGTGTTTGCTGTGAAGGAAACCCTCGGCCCAGTCACAACTTGGACTTAGATCAGTCTTCTCCCACCGAAAAGGACCAGCCAAAGGTCCTATTTTTTCATACCGAAACAAGACTCTTACAAGATCTCATAATTTTTCATATACTTTTCAAACAAAAATCTCCTCAAGGTGAAGATTAGTCGAAAGAAACAATAAGGAAATGAACCAAAAGTTGTTATGAAAAAACATACATGAGGGGTTTGAAAAGATGATTTTTTGAGTGAAAATGGAGGGAAAAAAGAAAAGAAAAAGGCATAAATATAATTTCAAATGCCGGAAAATAGGTAAACTCCCAAAATCCGGTAAGAGGTACACCTCTATCCTTAATTTTTTTCCTCCTTATAAAAATATGGTTCAAAGATTAAAATCTTTGACCATGAAATAATTTTAATCCATAAGAGAATAAGTAGTCATGTGGGATCATGTTGACTTCGTCTCATTTTATATTTTTGTAATATTTAGTATTTATAATTTTACACAAATGAAGATAAAACTGTTTCAAAATACTTCTAGAGACCACAAAAAGTCAAATGAGACGAAATATTAGAGACACATGGAGTGGTTTTACAACAATTGATACTTTTTCGGATTGTTTATCACAAAAAAAAAAAAAAAAAATTATGCGGTAGAACAAAACTTAGTTTTTATAAGGTAGTTTCCCACAAAATTTACCATTTTAAATAAAAAAAAAAAAAAAAAAAAAAAAAAAAAAAAAAAAAAAAAAAAAAACTAAGGGCTTGTCCTCTTCACCTTATAAAAATAAGTTTCAAGTCTTATAAGTTCATATCAGTTCTGATAAGTCACAATAAGGTCGAATAAGTTCAATAAGGTCTAATGAGTTCAATAAGATGTAATAAGTTCCGATCCAATAAGTTAAATAAGGCCTAATAAGTTCCAATGAGTTAAATAAGTTCTAATAAAGTCTAATAATAAGGTCCAATAAGTTTCAATAACGTCCAATAAGTTTCAATGAGTTCAATCAGGGCTTATAAGGTCTAATAAGTTCAGTTAAGTTCCGTTTAGATAAGTTCAGATAAACTCAGGTCTAATAAGATGAAGAGAATATGCCCTAATATAACATAATTTAACATACAAGTTATTAACAACTAACATGCTATGACAAATTCTGGAGCAAAAGAGAGCTTGTTCAGCCACCCAATTACGTCGAATATTCTATTAGTATATCCTATACAAAAACCAACCACTTTTATTATTAATTTAATTATGATTAGACTAATGTTTTAAAAAATCAAGTGTACAGTAATTTATTGTGCGATGGGAAGAAAAAGGAAAGAAATATAGGTAACTTTTGTGACACTATGGGTATCTTTTAATAATATAAGGGTAATTTTGTGAGAGTAAAAGTAACTAGATAACAAGATAAGCTTTATGAGACTAAGGGTAACTTTCGGTATACAATATACAGATGTACATCAAATTTACTGTACAATCGATGCATGCTTGACGTAAGGAAAAGTAGGTCGTTGACTAATCCTCCTTAGAGCCAAACAAAATTTATAATCACTTAACAAACCTATATGCAAGTATAGAAGTAAGTCAAGGGTCGAACCCCTAGGAACGGTTATGATCAAGTGCTTTCAATCTACGCCTAAGCTATAGGCTGAAGTCAAAGGTGAAGAATAGAGTGAACTAACACTTATCAACTACCAAAACAAAGAATCAAACAAAAGAAACACTAGGTAATGGGGATCAACATGTAATCATGATAATTGCACCAATTTGGAAAGGTCAAACCAATCAATAGTTGTGAGGAATAACGGAAAGAGATATCAATTGGAATTGAAGAGCTATCGCCTAATCGTCAAAATAGGTCTCCACTATCATAACTACAAAATTGGCCAAAAAAACCCGTTTAAATAGGCCAAAGAGACTGCCTTAGAGATGGTCTCTAGCTAAGTGGTCTCTTTGGCAAAGAGATTGCTTGATTAGAGGCGGTCTTAATTTTTGTAAAAAGCGAGACCTGTCATCCTTAGGCGGTCTCTTTGGGTAGTTGGAGATCTAATAATTTAACTGGGAAAGAGACCCGTGTTGTCAGATAAATAGTCTCTTTTTTATTTTCACATAGACCTGTTATATTAGGTTACAACATTTAATTTTTTTAAAAAAAATTCCAAAAAAAACCAATTTATATATTCATACAATTGAGCACGTCTACATGTATAAATACTGAGATACTATAATAGGAACAAAATTCATATACCAAAATCCACACTAATACTACTTAAATCTGTATTAATATGAAAAAAAAAGTAAACAAATAAAAGCTATTTCACTACTATTTTGAACTCTTGCTCATTCAAAAATCTAATTTTCTATATCATTTAATCCCACCAATTTCGAGCTTTGTGGAGAAACCCAGAAGCTATAGACCTCTAAAATTGCAGAAGATTGCTTCAACTTGTCAAATCCGGGTAAATCAAGTATCATCAGATCAACTCGTCGAATCTGGGTAGAAGTATTCATATACAAAAAATGAGGAATCATATATAAGAATCAAAATTAATTTACAAAATAGTTTGACACAAACAGATCTAAAAAACTAAATCAAAACATAAAAATATTTAATTAAATAAGAAAAAGTAGGAGAAAAGAAGAGATAACAACAGTTGTAAACAAGTTCAAGATTTGTGTGAAACTTTAAACATTAAAACAAAATACTCATCATCGAACATTAAAAAAGAACAAGCAGTATTATAATAGAAAAGATCTACAATTCCATAACACAAAAAACGTTTCCTTTTTATTAAAATGGTAAACGATATAAATTCACCATTCATGTTTTGCACCAGATCAAAAATTCCATAACACAAAACATACATACAACTCACGATTATCACAAAAATCGAACAACCTATCGTACTCGGTTACTCACATAAATCATATTAAAATTTTTGCACCAGATCTAACAAGCTCAAATTTTCTTGTTATCTTACAGTTTTTGGAGTTAGAATTCAAAGATCTAACGCAAATAAACTTATTCGAAGTAGATAACAAGAAATTGAAGGGGAAAAACCCCTATTTTTTGCGCCACATATAAGAGCAAAATAAAAAAAAAATTCGAAAAAGGGGAAAATCTCTCACCGATCGAGCATTCGGGAAATTAAAGAGCTTAATTTCCGTAATTTTGTTCACTTTCTTTCTCCATTCCTCTTTCCTTTTCTTTGTTTATGGCTGCTCGATCTGAATCGTTGCTATTTGGCTTGAAGGAAGTGGTTAGGGTTTGAAGGAATGAAGGAGGAGAGAGAAAGAGAGATAAGAAGAGCAGGGAGCAGGGAGCAGGGGTAATTAGGTAAGAGTGAGGAGGAGAGAGAAGTTAAAAAGAGAAAAAAGAGATTGGCGTACGTGGTAGCTCGAAAACAAGAGACCCGACTTTAATGTTAACAGGTCTCTCTGTCAAAAACAAGAAACCGGTTAGTTCAATAGGCGGTCTCTGGTTTATTTTTAAAAAGTCATTTTTAAAAAAAAAAAATATGCAAGAAACCCGTCATCTTAAATAATGGGTCTCTCAAATGTTTTTACCCTTTCAACAAATGAAGTTAGAGACCTGTTATAAATAATAAACGGTCTCTTGGACCAAAGAGACCTCTTATATAGATAATTGGTCTGTTATATTGGGACTCTTTGGCCAATTTTGTAGTAGTGTATGAATGATTAAGTAGGAGAATCACAATCCAAACCAATCAACAATTGCAAATCCTAGATCGAGTGGTCATGTCATCAAAAGGATCTACAATGCAATCTAGCTTAGTTCTCAAGGTCTAATCAATCTAAGCACATGCAAACTTTTATTAATCAATTTAATCTCAACAATCAATTAACATAAATCCCTAAATTAATCACATTCAATCAATCATACATGCCTTACCCAAACCCTAGCAAACAAACTACTTATCAACAATCATCATCAATCCAAACAAACAATTAAATGCATGAATTGATCAACCAAATGTGATGATCAACTAAACTAATCAAGCAATAAAACTAAATCAACCATGAAATTAAATAAAGCAATGAAGATGAGATAGAGTAAGAAATGCTCATTGATAATTGAGAAGATCTTCAATACAGTTGTCATCCTTGAATCTTCAATCTCTCAAATCACCATTGATTTTCCTCACTTCTCTCTCTAAAGCTACTCCTAAGCTAATCCTAATCTAGAAAGAGAAACTCTCAACCTAAGCCTAATAATGAGGAAAAAAAATTTGTAAAACTTATTAAAAAATTCAGATTCTAAAGTATTTATAAGAGGCGGGAAAACGAGTTTGAAATAACCCGAGGAGCAGGGCTGCGCGCCCGTGCCCAACTGGGTTGCTTCAAGGCCTTGTAGCACCGTGCCCTCATAAATGGCCTTCTTGTGCGCACGCAATAACTTTGTCATAGTCACTAGGCATGGCAGATTCAAATTGTGTTTATATTAACTTCAACACCAAAATTTCATGAGAGCGCGGCTTGAGAGCACAAGAGCTAGACTTGGAGCATGCCATTTTCTTACTTCTTTAACTTTTCAAATGTTATAAGCTTGCATCAAAAGCTTCTTCCAACTTGGTAAGCCACCATTATCAAGACCCAAGCCTCATTTAATACCTACAACCACGAGAATAGAACAAAGAAAGGAGAAAACATGAAAATAACCACAAAAGTGAGCGATAACACAAAATAATCAAGAATAAAGAATAAACTAATGTACAAATGAAAAAAACTAAGCATTTATTAGCAAAGAAAGCTATAAAAAGAAGGTAAAAATGACCAAAAACTCATCAAATGAGTGCCATAAATGACACTCATCAATGCTAAAACTTTTGTTCTAATTCAACCAAGTTGAAAAAGACCAACAAAGCTCTAAGATGTTCGGATCATAATCAACAACAATATGAGCATATAGTAAGGATAATTACACCCTATCAAAGTGTTATCTTACACAGGTTAATTCGGTGCACATTTAATTAATGAGCAAGACCCCTTCAAAATGAGAAGGAGAGGATAAAGAAAGCAGCACCCTCAAAATGTCTCTAGCACATAAGATTCATCACAAAACTTCAAAGTTATAGGATGTTATCATTATCAACTGACACCTCTCAAAAGTTGAGCCATCTCGGTTCCGTAGGTCAACGCTTGAGACTGTGAGAGTAGAGGTGGGAGGTAAAGAATCCCTCCTAATCTGAAGTAAATATAGTTAGTAGTGTTCGAACTCGTGATTTTAAAGTCACATTATCAATTTCTTACCAACTCTATCGATCTTACTTGATTCAAGTACTTTAAAATGTGATGAGCTAGAAAGCGATACAATACATAACAATATGCTGAGAGCTTTGAACTCATCATACAGCAGTGTACTTGTATACAATCAATGACACGAAGTCCAATGTTTGAATGAGAACCAAAAAAGATAAAAAGGGAAAGAATATGACATAACGAAGTTTCAATAGTCTATCTTTCATAAGCCTAAACGATATCCGCTTTGCTTTAGCTTTACGTAAATAAATTTAGGTACACTACTGTCAAGTGTCAACTGATACTGTATATGGCACAGCAATCAAGATTTTGTCTAATGCTTACTTTACTAAAGACGTTCTTAACAAGAAATCTTCCGGAAATTTGGGGTATGTTTAATCGAAATCATTTAGATAGAAAAGTTTATATAGATAATTTTTAAATAATTGATACATTTGACTTTTTTTCTTAATCATCTTTACTATTATATAAAATAAAATATTAATGAAAACTTCATATTCTAATAATATACATTAAGATAAATTCAACAACTTACTAACTCACATTTTAATTTATACTCCCTCTGTATTTTATTACTCCCCCCACTTCATATTATATTTTCTGTTTTCCTATTTTGGAGACCTAAAATGTTAGTCCTTCATGTTTCTATATTTCGATAATATGTAAAGATCACTATAACTTTTTTTTTTTTTAACTTTATTCATTGTACTCCTTTCGTTTTTTTTTTTTTTTTTTTGAATAATATTATGAGTAGGTGAATAATTTATTATAGTTAAAGTAAGATAAGGACCCTGAAAGGGAAAAAATATGTAAAAGAGATTGGATATTGTTATTATTTAAGTGGGGACCATGGAAGAGAGAAATGATAAAATAATTTAAGTGGAGTTAAAGTAAAAGAGAGAAATGATAAAATATAGTATAAATGTACCAAATATAGAGGTGTCGCATGCATTTAAAATAAACACCTATAAAAGTGAAGTGATGCATTTAGAAAAAAAGGAGGGAGTACTTTCTAAATTATCCTTTAATTTTCCACTTGCCTTGTACTTTTTTCCACTTTTTCTCTCTAACTTTTGTCTATAATTGTCCTTTTCAATTTTATATAATGTAATTCATGCACTTTCTCATCTCATTTCTTAAAAATATCATGAAAAAACAGAAACATGAACTAAACTGGGATGGAGGGAGTACTTGTTATATACTTTGTATCTCCTAAGTACGTACTGCAAAGTATATATGTACTACATTGTGAAATTTCACAAGTCATATTCGTTCGCACCTAATCAGGATCTACAAGAATAACACATAAAGAATCACATAATTCATAGCTTTGATGCATGATTTCCACGAGCGATTGACTATGAACACTAGGAGAATAAGAACCTTAAGTGCGCTTTCTCTACTTGGATCATGAGCTAGGATTGAACATCCACTAATGCTAGTTAGTCAGGCACTACGAACACTTCGAACCACCTTCTACGAAGAGGAGGAGGAGAAAATCGGCCACGAACCCCCATCACACACCACACGAACACGCAAGGGGAGAGGAGGGGAGGACAGAGAGGGAGAGGGTTATGAAAGGAATAGGTGTCCTTTAAATAAGTGTATTATTCTGATAGAGGGTTCAGAATCAATTACGGAGTTAATTATTCAGTGAAGTCAAGTGATCGGAAATTGGGATAGAGGCCATCTCTGATTAGTAAGATTAATTATATTAATCTCACGGCTTTCCTTTAACTGAACCCAACGGGTTACACCCCAGCGTGCAACCGAACTAAGTCGACGAATTAAGTCGGAGGTCTTAATACGTAAAATAAGAGAATACGTATTTCGACGTCGGATTTCGAGCTTAGAGCGTCAAAACCGAACGTCAAAACGTCAAGTCGATTCTAGGAACCAACAAGACGTGCAAAAAAAGTCAAACATCAAATATCAAGTCAAAACGTATAGCCATAGCCTCGCATTGGCCTAGCCATGCGAGGGCGAGGCTAGCGTGGGCTGCCACAAGCTAGCACTAGCCGCAAGCTGAAAGCCGCGTGCATGCGCTAGTTGAGCCATGCTGGCCGAGTGCATATTGCTAGGCGTGCTGGCCGAGTGCTTGTCGTAGCAGTAATGCTAGCAAGGCCTAATAGCTCGCGAAGCTTGCCAGGCTTAGCTAGCGAGTGATGCGCCTAGCACGTAGCAGCAGCCCGCATGCGGGCTTGCGGAAGCAGCACCAGCATGGGCTGGCAGTAGGCCCAGCCGAGCACTAGGCTGCCAGCAAGGGCTGCCTTGGTGCTCAAGGCTGGCGCCAGCTGGCCGAATGCTATTAGTGTAGGGAGTAAGGAGACCATGTGGTTCTCCCTTGTGGTCCTCACCTAACTCCTTCCACTTGCTTGCCACTTCTTGTTTGATTATTTGCTTCTTGCTTTTAATTTATTTTAGAATTAAATTAATAGCATTATTTTTAACAACTTTGTAAAGTCCCACATTGATAGAATATCAAAAGGAAGGAGATGCCTCTCCTATAAATATCCAAGCTTGCCTTGAATTGAACTACAAGAGTTGAACTCGAAAAGGGCATCTCCACATAAAACGTGTGACCTCATATGATCCATTCTGTTGGCCTGGGGTTTGGGCTCTTTGACTTGCTAAAAGATCATTCACGTCTAGCAACAAAAATGACGGCCCAAAAGAATGAACTAAATATTGATCCAATAATATATCTAGTAATTGCACTTGACGAAAACATAACTCCTTCAATCTCCTACTTGTCTGAGACAAGTGTGCAATCTTCAAATTCCTTAAGTCAATTACTGTCTGATTTGATAATATATGATTGCATCACATGTTGAAATCATATTAATCTACAAATTATTTCTTAAAACTTGTGTTTGAATTGCAAAACAAATGATTACTATGCAATCCATTTGAGCACGGCCATGCATTTTCTCAATTCTCAATCTTCAAGACGCCATGACAATTATCCTTTTAAAGGACGACTTGATCCAATCTCATGGAAACAAAAACTCCCACTCAACTTTTAGAGAAACTGAAAAGTACCCGGCCTATCTATATAGTTTTGGCCATTAACGACATTACGTTGGAGTACAATCACAGTTAAACTAATCATCAAGCATTGAAAG